CCTTAGGATTGGAGTTCTCTACCCTTAGGATTGGAGTTCTAAGGGGGGAGGGTGCCCTTAGGATTGGAGTTCTAGGGGAGACTGGGGGGTCTTAGGATTGGAGTTCGGAGGAGGGGGGGCTTAGGATTGGAGTTCTAAGGGTTCCTGGGACACCCTTAGGATTGGAGTTCTAAGGGGGAGGGTGCCCTTGGGATTGGCGTTCTAGGGGAGACTGGGGGGTCTTAGGATTGGAGTTCTAAGGGAGGAGGGGGGCCTTAGGGTTGGAGTTCTAAAGGTTCCTGGGACACCCTTAGGATTGGAGTTCTAAGGGGGGAGGGTGCCCTTAGGATTGGAGTTCTAGGGAAGACTGGGGGGTCTTAGGATTGGAGTTCTAAGGCCCCCCTCCCTTAGGATTGGAGTTCTAAGGGTTCCTGGGACACCCTTAGGATTGGAGTTCTAGGGGGGGGGGGTGCCCTTGGGATTGGAGTTCTAAGGGTTGGTAGGGGGGTTAGGACTGGAGTTCTAAGGGTTTGCTGGGACACGCTTAGGATTGGAGTTCTAAGGGTTGGTGGGGGTTTCTTAGGATTGGAGTTCTAAGGGCTCGTGGGAGGGGGGGGCGGCCCTTAGCATTACAGTTCTAAGGGTTGGTGGGAGGGTCTTAGGACTGGAGTTCTAAGGGTTTGCTGAGGGGGGAAGGCGGTCCTTAGGATTGGAGTTCTAAGGGTTGGTGGCGGTTGTTAGGATTATAGTTCTAAAGGGTGACACCCTTAGGATCATAATTCTAAGAGTCCCTGCAAGGTGGGCCTTAGGATTAGGGTTCTAACGGTTCCTGTGCAGGGTGGCCCTCAGGATTGAAGTTCTAGAGGTTTCTGGGGCTGTTAGGATTGGAATTCTAAGGGTTCATGGTGGGAGACCTTCAGGATTGGAGTTCTAAGGGTTCATGGGGGGTGACGCTTAGCATTGGAGTTCTAAAGGGTTCCGGTGCGCCCTTAGGATTGGAGTTCTGGGGGAGGGGGAGGCCTTAGGATTGGAGTTCTAAGGGTTTCTGGTACACCCTTAGGATTGGAGTTCTAAGGGGGGGTGGTCCTTAGGATTGTAGTTCTAAAGGTTCATGGTGGGTATGAGGATTGGAGTTCTAAGTGATCCCGGGCGTTGTATTAGGACTCGTCCTTCTTCTCATCTTGCTCTGGCTTCCCTTGCTGGCCACGAGCCGGCGTTCTGCTTCTGCCCCGGTTGCCACGTGCAGGTGTCTTGCTTCTGGCACGGGCCTTTGCTGCTGAGGAGAAATTCTGCTGAATCACACAACACACCTCACCTCACATGCTCGAACGCAATCATGATGCTTCCTTGCTCTCGTCCACAGGCGGCGTGGTCATCGAGATGTCTGAGGTGTTCAGGTCGGTTGCCTCGCCAAGGTGACGGCGACAATACATGATATATTTGCACTGCTGCCGCTGCTGTAAGACTAATATACGACAATCCACATGCAGCACCGAACCTTGCGGCGACGCCTGTCCTTGTCCTTGTCGCCCTTGTCCTTTTTCTTTGGCTCCTGTCGCTCCTTTTCCTTTTTGTCCTCTTGGTCCTTTGCCTTGGGCTTGCTGCTGATGTCGGTTGAAGCAGTGGCAGTCACAGCCTCATCAGATGATGAACTGTCATTCGAGCTCGAGCCATCATCGTCGGATGAACTCTTCTTGGACTTGCTTGCCTCTTCCTGCTTTCGCCTTTGCTCTGCCGCTGTTGTCTCCTTTTGTAGCCTATCACTTGTTTCCTTTTCCTTTTGCTCCAGCAAAGCTAGCCGCTTCTCCTTTTCCTGCAACCTCATCGCAAGCTGTCGGTCCTCCTCCTCCTGTATCGTGCGCCTGTACTGCTTGGCAGCCTCTTCATGTTGCTGTGCCTGGTAGGCTGCATCTAGATTCACGCGCATGGCCTCCAGGCGCTTTGCTTCTTCTGCGTTTGCTCGATTCATTTCAGTCACTTGCTGCCACTGCTGATGCATACGTAGCTGCTCGGCATGTTGTCTTGCTTGTGCTTCTTGCGCCCTCTGAGCGCTTTCATGCGCAGCCTGCACGTCCTGATGTTCAAGCAACATTCATAACAACAGCTACCTGCAAAGAAATCGCACACGGCATCACTTCGCAACACAACGTGACCCCATGAATTCAATACAAGGCACACTCTTCAGGTCAAGTCTGGCTGCAGGTCCATGAAATCCATGATAAGTCTGTGATGAACGGGTCCTGCACGTCACAATCATAGTCGCTAGTCGCAGCCACAATTAACTAGCTACCAAGAAGCGATCAAGCAAGACTTGAACAGAGACTGACCGCTCGACAATTTACACGCCAGTCCTCTGCAAAGTGGAGTCCGACGATGGGCTCGCAGCTTCTGTTTCGGCCGGGCTGGCTGTTTGGACGATCATGGGTGCTCGGGACGGCCGGGGCACGGGCTTCCGCGGCTGCTGCTTCGGCAGTTCTGGTGCCGGTTGCCGTTTCGGCTGCTCTGGTGTCGCTTGTGCTGGCAGCGGCGTCTGCTGTGTCGGTGGCCCTGGTGGCTGCGGTTGCCCTGTCTGTGGCGGCGCTGGCGGCGGCGGCGCTGGCGGCGGCGGCGCTTGCGCCTGTTCTGGCGCTTTTGCCACGCACGGCCGCATGGGTGGATACATAAACTGCGTTCCCGGGATTCCGGGCGGTAGTCCCAGCAGGAGCGACTCGAGCGCGGTCAGTTGCAAAGGCACAATTGGTGGCGGCAGCAGAGCGCCGGGCGGAGCAAGAACTGGTTGCTGTGCCTGGAGGGCAGGCGCAGGAGGGACTGGCAACAAGCCAGGCTGCGGCTGCATCACTGTTTGTAGCGGTGGCGCGGGCGGTGCAGACATGAACGGTGCACTTGGGGCCCAAGGTTGTGGCTGCACTAGGTGTGGCGGGCGTGGAGCATACGGATGGGGTGGTGGCGGCGGCGGTGGCACCCACGACCACTTGGCCGTGGCGTTGCGTAGATCTGCCTGAGATGCCTGCACATTGGTCGCTGGGGTTGTGGTGCCTTGGATAGGTGGCTCTGGTCGTGACGGCGGCGGCACCAAACGCGGTTGTTGAGGTCGAGCCTTTTGTGGCAGCGGTGATGTGCTCTTGGGCGGCGTCTTCGGAGCCACCGCGGTGGAACAAGGCGGGGCTTCATCCATTGTCTTTCCGTCGGCTGCTGTTGTGTTTTAGTGATAGGCTAGGTGTTGGAGTTAGGAGCGTCCACAACACACATGACATACATGACAGAACTGACCCTATGGACTCGTACAGGCGTGCAAACGACATGCGTTAATCCACACTTCATGTCATGCAGCTCTGACGAGACCTGGAGAAAATTCTGCAGCACACACAGCGCAAAACACAAACGACACAGTCTCAAGCGTGACACAGCCCAAGCAAACACATGCGCTTGAAACATGCTGGCTGCTCACGTCTTGGCGCCCGGCCGGCTTGTCTCCACCGTCTCATCGGCTCGCGCGTGCAGAGAGTCATCGCCTGGCGGACATTACTAACAAAATGAGCACGCTGCGTTTGTGATTGCACTGCCGACAGCGACTGCGACACACACACACATACAGTTACATCTCATCTCGACCTCAACTTTCGCATGTTGCAGTCAGTCAGTAAGATTCTGGCGGAGTGTACGCAATAGTTCCAAGCACAAGCTGCATGTACCGGCTCTGGATGACTTCAACCTCATTGGCATCACTCATATTTGTCAATTGACAAACACTACCCTGAACCCGGACCCTAAACCCTAAACCCTAAACCCTAAACCCTAAGCCCTAAACCCTAAACCCTAAACCCTAAACCCTAAATCCTAAACCCTAAACCCTAAACCCTAAACCCTAAACCCTAAACATAACCCTACCTAAATCCTAAGCCCTAAGCCCCTAAACCCTAAACCACAGCCAGCCATGCGTGCAAGACTGCAGGACTTGACTGACCGATGATCTTCTCTCACATGGCGTGTCTGACAAACTTAATGGCCTACTAGAAATTCACTGGGCAGCTGACTGTCTTGACGGAGCAGCAGCACTGCTGGATGAAGCAGCCGCGCTGCTGGACAACAACTCCGAGCTGCTCAGCAGCCCCCACCAATCACAGTTGCAAGGCGACGGCACGCGGTGTTCGCGCAATGACGCAAGCATGACTGCATTGATTTTGGTGAATTCGCCAATGAAATCCGTTCCAGAGCATATGTGATTGCAGAAGTCGTTCGCGCAGCTGTCGTGCCACCAATGCAAGCAGAAAGGACACTGCACTGTGTTTCCCACGGCGCTTCTGCAGAAAACACATCTGTGAGTGTCGACAATTCCAGCTGCTTCTGGCACGTCCTGATGTTCACACAGTTCACACAGCCTACAGCCACTACATAGCCACTCACCTACCATGACCCTCCCAGCATGTTGCTCGTGATTCTCCAGCATACAAGCGTGATGCATCCATGTAGCACTATCTGTATGTGTGTTTATATCAGAACGGCAGTGTATCAGAAGCCTACCACACAACACACGCGTTGACTCCCACAGGTCCTGCGTACCGACGTCATTGCAATCTCTGTCCGCAAGCTGCGCACGCACTAGGACATTCAATGACATCACCTCACAAAAGGCTTTCAGCCTCAGAAACTCTGACTGGACAGTATCCCTTCCAGCGTCTGTCTTCTTCAGCTTTCTCATTGTGGCTCCCACAAAGCTTATAAGAATGTCTGCGTGGTCCTGTTCAATGCACAATTCAGGAAAGCCCATGCCCGAACTGACGCCAGTGCGATGCATGCTTGTGTCGGGCGTGGAATAAAGCACTTTGTTCGTTGCGTCCAGCAGCACCTGCCGGCCGGCACGTCTTTGAAGACCACGCCTGTGAAACAACACGATTCAAGCACTATGTGTCATTCAACTATTCAACCTAAACCCTAAACCCTAAACCGTAGACCCTAAACCCTAAACCTTAGGCCCTAGCCCTAGACCCTAAACCCTGAACCCTACAACAATCTAAGCTTTATCAAGAGTTCATGGTGTCATCTGAGTCATATGGTTCGAAATGAAAATATAAATATAACTGTTCAGCAAGTGGCTTGCCGGTGTTGTAGATCCAGTGGACCCACATGACTTCTTGCGAGTTGTCGTTGAATTTGCAGCGCACACACTTGCATCTCTGAACAGGATCTTGCCCTCTGAGCAACACCAAACTTAAGCTGCGATCCTGACCGGCTGGAAATGCTTTGACACGTGCAAACTCGCCCATGGCTACCAGCATGTGGTGGCAGGAAGTCGACCATTTAACAAGCACACGACCGGTTGCACCCATGTCAACTATTTTCTGTGACCCCAGAGCACAAACCAACTGTTCTGGCATGCTAGGTTGGTTCAAGTTCAGATTGCCCTCGCTGTCGCCATCAGAGCTGACATCACTTTCGTGGTCAGACGCTTCGGCCGCCGCAGAATCATCGTGGACGCCCTTGCCCCCAAACGTGTCCTCCAGATCCTGAGTCTCTAAAGCTGATCTGCCTGGCTGTCTCGTTAAATGCTGTGGCCGGCGACCGGAGCAACCCGCGCTGATGTCCTTGTTCTTCTCGGACCGGGCACGCCGCACCAACAAGAGCAGTGCCTCCTCCTCGAGCTCTCCAGGTGGCACCAATTCTGCATGTTGTTGCAGCTCTATTGCTGCTCTGTGCACATCTTCAGGCGACGCTGAAGCTGCCGCGCCAGCGCACGCCTGCTTGATTTCGGCGGCTGCAAGGCCGTCCGCGTTATCCTCATCTTCACTCGCTGCACTGGAGTCTGTTTGGTACTCCCCCTCGTCGCAGAGGTTGTTGTCCTGCAGGTATGTGTCCATAGCGTCACCTGCAACTTCCTTGTCGTCATCACTACAGTCATCATGGTCCTGGATTGGTCTTTTTCCTGCCTTTGATCTGCCTTTGCCAGCTGCTTTGGATTTGGTCTGTGTGTTCTTTGACTTCGCCTTGGCCTTGGCCTTGCGCTTGGGCTTGTGAGGCTTCTTGCTGGGAGGTCGAGGGAGTTGCTCCGCAGTCATCGCAAAGCATTGCTTCACATCAGCCAGTGCCAAGAATAATCTTTCCCCGCCTGCCAGCGCGGCCAGCCCGTGCACGAGAAGATGTGCCCTGCCTGGTGCGATTACAGCGCAGCCAACATTGAACGAAGCCCTGCCACGAGAGCACTCATCATGGAATGTCGATATGAGCAATGTAGACTCTATGCAGTTGTATTCATTGTATTTCCACTCAAGATATACGCCGGCATCTTCTTGCTCAACAACGTCCACTTTCGAGAACATAACACTGACAGAGAACTTCTCAAGAACTGCATAAACATGTGGCAGCTGATGCGACCCTGACCCGGCTGCGCAGCTAGACTGGAAAACCGCCAGAAGCATGCCACGCTTGCTGTCCACACCAACCGCTTCGCCTTGTGATTGTTTAGCCTTCTTCTTCTTCTTGCCATGCAGAGCAGCGGTGGCTCTACGCCATCCCAGATTATAAGATTTGGCCCAGAGAATTGCTTCAGGCGACGTGAGCGATGTGAAGAACTGATCGTGGTCTCCAAGAATCTTGTCCTGTCGGATCACTGACACACCATCAGCCTTGTCGCCGTTGCACGCTGGGGCCACGCCCGGCGCGTCTTGATGGTCTTGCGAGTGAGACGCTGGAACCACGGGCAGCGATGAAGACATTCGATCAGATCGAACCACTGCCAACGACTGCCTGTCCGTAATACCCAACACTGTCGGGCGATCGCTTTCCTGAACCAACTCCACAGGCAAAGGGTGTGACCAACGAGACGGATTGCCCAATATAGCAAGTGCAGCGCCATGGTACCCAGTGATTGTAGCCAGCATTTGTTCAGCAGCATGTCTGATACGCGACCATTTCTTCTGTCTTCGCATGGACCCATCTTCCGTGAGCGATCGCTTGATAGCAAGCCTAGCTGAGAGAAGCTCCAAGGAAATATTCGGACATCTGCGCCCAACCAGTTTAATCACGCTGTTGATCCCCTCGATCGCTTGTGTGTCAACAGGCTGCATCCTAGCCAAAGATTTCAGGAAGCCATACATGAAGCTACCTGACACGGACGGAACGTCCGGGAACACACCGTGATCCCTCATGTGCTGCAACTCGCGACTGCACAATGCACGGATCTTCCGCGACGAATGGTCCAGATCTTCCAAGCCAACCATAAGAAACTTCGTGGCAATATCTTTCCTCTTCTGTGAGAATTGCCGAGGCGGATCCTTTATCAGCCAGAACAATTGCCAAGGAAACTGTTGCAACGGTCGTATGATACGTCTGCGAAATGCAGCCCAATGCATCAGTAGCAAACGCAAAGCCACATAACGCATGTGCAAGACATCCCTGTCGGAAAGACCCTTCTGATCGTCAAGACATCCTGATAGATGCATCGCCTGAGAAACAATTTCTGGAAGCCTGTGGAAGAGAGTCTGAAACTCGCGCGTGATCTGACCAAGTTTCGATGTGATAAGCTTGAACATACATTCACCCCCGCGAGACTCTTTCTGGACGAAGAGCATAAAGTGTCGCAACGGAGAACGAAGTGTCCGACACAGAAACAACAGGCACCAAAATACGCACGACGTCACAGCGCGAAGTGTGCCCGTGCACCATTTTGTCAGCTTTATCTTGTAGGAGGCCACATCGTCCATCCCATCAGACTCCTTGACAAGGCCAGAGTCACCGCCGTCACCTGTATCTTCCACACAGCAACAGGATGCACACAACACTGAACACGTGGCTGCCAGCTGCGTGACACCCCCCTCAATGTATAAGTAAGGCACTTTGAACACATACACTTATCACATTACATGAACTCATGAGCTCTCACAGGCTCTCACACTGCACACTCTCGCTGTCTCACATACCCACAAACCCACGCAAAAGATAAACCCCCAAACAAACAAACAAACAAACAACCAACCAAACAAACAAACAAACACACAACCTGAATGATGTGTACATTGCGCTCGCTGCCTGCTGCTGGTGCTGCCTCGGCTGATGCTGGGTCTGCTGCGGCTGCGTCAACATTTTCCGCGTCGACCGCGTCGGCTGCTGTGTCGGTGTCAGCCTTCATGAATTTGCTCAGTACTCGCAGCATAACAGGCTCCACCAACGGCCGCCCCCGCTCCAACAAAAACTCTTCTGCACCCTCCACGCTCCCCCACCTCCCTGACGAAACGCTCAACGGGTATCTTTGGCCCAGCAGGCGGGTGTCCTCACTCGCTTCGCCTTGCCCATCGTGAACGTCCTGCCAAGCTGTCATCATAGCTGACGCTTTCTCTCGCCAGAGATTTGTTAGTTTGGCGATAGAGCTATAGTACCGGTCAAAGCCGCGAAGGGTTTCGCTGCTAAACGCTTCGGCGATAAGCTCGTCCACCAACTCGAGCCCACCACGCACCGCTGCGTGGAATATGTGAAGGTAACAGTCCGACGGAATGTAGACGATGCGGTCGACGTCCTCTACACTGGCAGCTGTCCTCTTGCGTCTGGCCAGCTGGTCCGAGCCACGGTCGGTTGTATCAAGATATACAATAACTGATCTGCTTGCGTCCAGTGAAGAATCCCTGAGCTAAGTCGAAGCACTGCAATTACAGTTCAATTACATTACATGGTGCAACAAGCGATTACGACTATGACTCTATGACAGCTGAAAGGCTAAAAGTAATGAGTTATCACGAAGTTATCATGTCATGCTATGTGCTGACTCACCGCACGACGCACGCACTGACCGTACTCATCCAACTAGGCAAACGCATGCCAACTTCATAATGCACCAAACCAATGCACACCTAGCTTCTCTTGGCTCAGTTCTGCGACGATGTCGGACACAGATGGCACTCCAATCGAGTTCAGTTGCTTCTGCAAAATACCCGCGGCGTGTTCCGCGGTGCACCCCGACACGATCTGTAGATCTGACCTGACAATCAACGGCACGAGACACACAAACAAGCAATGCTGCCGCAACACCGCAACACGTGTGTGACCGTGTGTGATGAACGAGTCTGCTAACAGAAAAAAACACTGATAGCTTGCAGCCGGACAATCATCCAAATAATAAGACAACTCAGGCTCGTGCAGACATCTTCGAATTTTCATGAACGCGTCGGTTGACACAGGAAAGCTCTTGAGCGAAGCGGTGACAAGTCCTAGCTCAGCCTCTGTCACGTGGAGCTTTTCTCTCCTCCAAATGGATGAATGTGTAGCGTCTGCTCGCACGGATATAACCAAAAGGCTCCAAGCAGATTCGTCGTACGCGATGTCGGCGAGGTCTGGTGCGTCCACACCTGGTACCGTGGCGCGACCAGTCGAACGCAACACCGACATAAGATCAGACGTGTAGTCCTGCATGCTCGCAGCCAGCGCTGCCCCTGTACGTATTTCGGAGCGTATAACCGTAGATCCCGATAGATCCACCATGAGCAACGCCCCAAAGTCTGCGGCTGCAACGTGAGCAATGTTGCGCCTAATTCCCAAGGCAAGCGTTGCAGTCGGTGTAAGGCGTTTCCCAGAACGGCCCGTCTGGAGAACAAGCGTTGACTCATTGCTTGACTTAGCATCTTGCAATGATTGTTGCTTCGTTGCACGTGACGCAGACACGGACAGTTTCCTGTTCAAACGTCTCTTTGCAAGCTTCGCAACAGCCAGCTGTTCAGACATTCTTCGAAGCGATGCGCATGCCTGTGCCCCAACAATAGCGCAACGAGCCGCGGTCATGTTTGCAAAATCATCATGCTTCAAGTCTTTTAACTTCTGCAAAGTGAGCCTGGACCCTCCCCAGCCAACATTTCTCACAGCCAACTGAGTCTGGTCGGCAGCTGCTTGTACTGGCACAATCTGCTCACCCACATGGTTGTCAGCATGTTCATGTTCAGTCTCGTCTTCATCTATGTCCAGGACTGTAAGCGATGATGACTGTGTTGATCTACTGGCTGCCCACACATCGTGTGCACGCAACTGCGACAACTCATGTGGCGCAGGTGACGGTGAAGGTATATGAGACGGTGCACTCGTGCCCTCGCCCTCCATAGCTACCAATGAGACACCTGGGTTGGGTGTGTCATCGTCGTCGATCACGACTGTCGCACCGCTTGAAGGTACTGCTGCGAAGTCGATTAAAGGAAGCCCCAAATCGGGCAGCAACGCCTGCACGTCACTGTGCTTGACAAAGCGCTGCATGACAGAAGGAACCTGAGGCAGCAACATAATTTTGCATCCAAGACACTGGGCTCATGAGACAAGTTAGTTATTTCCATGACACTACATCACACCCGTGCTCCAACAACAACGTGCCAAACAAGTTACAAGGTCACTGCACGTTTGCAGCCAAACAACTTTTGACATCGCAGCATGTACTCTGCTCTGAGCATGACGCCGGAGCTCACCCTGAGTAACCAGAATGTCCACAAGGATCGTTTGAAGTGGCACTCTGCCGTACACACTACAGCCAGAGACTGTGGTTTTGTTTGATGATGCCCAGACATTCAGTCTTCTTCCAGCAATCGCACGGCCCGCCATCTGATCCGCATGTGTTTCTTCTCTGCCGTGTGAACTGTTTTTTTTGTTTGATCATGCCCAGACGTTCAGTCTTCTTCCAGCAATCGCCCGGCTCGCAATCTGATCCGCATGTGATTCTACTCCGCGTGTGATGATGTATCGTATTAAGATGGCAGATGTATGTGCTGCAACCACCACCTTGATTTGTATATGGCAGAGCATCATACTCTTTGGGCATCGCGGCTTCGTCTCGTGCAAACCGTGCAAACGATACAAACACTCAGACTCTCACTCAGCGTCACAGTCGCATGCATGCATGTGTGGGGGGGGTGAAACAGCGACTAACTGAAACTGCCACAGTTGCATGAATCGTGTGTGTGGGGTGAAACAACGGCTAACTGAAACTGCCACAGTTGCATGATGTTGCATGGGTTGTGGTGAAACAACTACTCCTAATTGATATCGCCTAAGCTCATGTAGTGTCTCATCCCTACAAATAGTATGCCCAGCACAGCCCTAAATCTATAGTTATTCCATGTCGAAAGTGTTCGACTTATACATTCTGGGGTCATGTTGTGGTGTTTCTTATAGCCGTGCACTCTTAACATCAACTCTTCTGCGCCACAAAACATCAAAATTTGGCCGACCGAAAATATAGGGTTACCTCTCGTGCCTCCACAAAACATCATGTTTCAGCCAGCCCCCCCCCCATGTGCTACAAGCTCTTGCCGGAAAAACAATTAAGACCCACCGCCCCCGACCAATGAAAAGCATAGTCCATAGGATTGTCGGAAACCATCAGTTCTAAGACAACCTGGTCCATATTTCGTAAGCATTTGGATGTTCATAAGCTTTGTAGCCATCAAGAACGTCATGAGCTCCATCTAATGGCAGCCCCCATGGCTGAAACCAGTGGGTTCTATTCACACAGCGCATTAGGACGCAACCATTTTTTTAAATCGCATTTGATCAACAGTATGCGAGTTGCTTCAGAACAAGGTGCTGTCAGCTTGCGTGTTGTGCCAAAAAGTTGCCAGTTCCCGGAGCAAATCGGTCAGAATGGAGCATGAGCGCCAATCATTTTGATTGCCTCAACTTTGCTCTGAAATGACAAATTTGTCAGTTATACTGCGCACCGATACCCAGAAGTCGTATCAGGACCTAATATTAAACCCTAAACCCTACAGGTTTACATCGAATTCTTTAAGGCCAGCTTGGTGTAGAACGCTTCTCGCCGGATTCTTTTGGAAATCCTTCTGTATGTCAGGGTTTGAGTACAACATCAGTGCAGTTGAAAGCATGCTTCCATACACTTTCGGTAAGTGGCTTCAGGGAAGGTCACAGTGACCAGTTGCTCATGTTTAAGCTACCCCAGGCTTTCCAGGTAAGGCTCTAACTAAAGTTTAAGCGTTTATTGGCTTTTTCAGGTTTTAAGTCTGGGGGTTTAGGGTTCCGGGCTTCAGGGTTTGGGGTTTGAGGGTCTACGGGGTTTCGGGGTCTAGGCTCTAGTAGAAGGCAGCCTCAAGGTAGCTTGACGCCCTCACCCCCATCTGGCGTGACCATGTGCCTTAAAAAAAGCAAGAATACCCCTCGATGGATACGAGACGTTTAGGGTTTAGAGCGTTATAAGGTTTAGGGGGCTAAGGTTTTTAAGATTCTTCCCTAAGCCCCCTGCATCCCAAAACCTTACATAGCCTTTGAGACCGAGTTCAGTTCCGCCTGTGGTGTCTTCGCGAACACAAGCGTCGTAGCTCCAGCAGAACCTGCCGCGCACAGAAAGTCTCATGAACTCCTAAGAAGCTATATCTCGGGGAAAATGATGTACCTACTCCCCTACTAAGATCAAGTAAGAACAGCACAACCAGGCCTAGTCCCCAATGACCTTCTGTCGAGGGCTTTTACCCAAGCACCACCTATACGATGCAGTTGTCCAAGCACCCACCTGTGCAGTTGTAGGGTTGTGGGGTGGCAGCTGAACCACAAGGCAACACCCTAAGCAACGACAGGTACAAAATCTGATGAACCTAAACCCTAAACCCTAAACCCTAAACCCTAAACCCTAAACCCTAAACCCTAAATGAACCACAGACCAAGGAGCTCCGTGTCCGAGCAGTCAGTGTGCTTGAAGCAGCCTGGCGCCGATGGGCTCAGCATGGGATGTTTCAAGGGGTCAGCGGATTGCATAGGGCTTGGGGTTTAGGGTTTAGGGTTTAGGGTTTATGGTTTAGGGTTCGGGTTTATAGGGTTTAAGGATCAATGAGTCAGGGCTGGGCAGGCTTGCAACGATTTAGGGCATAGGGCGGCTTGAAAGCGTTTATGGTTGCAAAACACATGTTTAGGTTTTAGGGTTAGGGTTCAGGTTTAGGGTTTAGGGGTAACCCTACACCCGCCTTCGTACACCGGACAGGTATCGGACACGCCGTCGTCGGCCACCGAGCAGAAGACGCGCCGCTCGCAGAGCCCGCCGCGCCCTGGCAAGGAGCAAGGTTTCGAGCGCAAGGTGTTCGAGCAAACCCTGCCATCTCCTCTCATCGCCTGCAGCCTTGTTACTACGCTAGCGATTAATTCCGGAAACTGAGCTGTAGCACCTGTAACTCAATCAGGTCTTTCAATTTTGTTGTCGCTTTTGTTGCCTAAGTCTTTACAGCGGGTGGGTGATAGAGAGAGCTCCCAGACCCTAAACCGTAAACTATTTACACCCTAATTAAACCCTAAACCCTAAACCCTAAGGGTTCTTTCACAACATCGGGCAAGAGCGCTAGGCGCGAGATGTGCCACCACCGTGGAGTGGTTGCGCTATCCCTGCACGGATTTTCAGCCCCTGCGCAAGAAGCTGCCCAAAAACCCATAATTAAACCCTAAACCCAAACCCAAAACCCTCAATAACCCTAAACCCCAAAAAACACCCTAAACCCTGAAAAACCTAAGCCCCTAAACCCGTGAACGCTAGACCCTCAACCCTAATGAGGGTTTTGTGGGGGCTCTGGGCCTTCTCTCTTCAAGACCCTCCGTGCCAACATGCCCAGGGAGGACTTCCAGCAATACCTTACACCTCAGGGGTGTAGGGCCTTAAGCCTAAACCCTAAACCCTAAATCCTACCCTAAAGCCTAAACCCTAAACCCTAAACCCTAAACCCTAAACCCTAAACCCTAAACCCTAAACCCTAAACCCTAGCCTTATATGTAAGGTTTTTTGGCCCTCCTAGAAAGCCAGAAAACCCAACAGCCGTTGGGGTGGCCCAAAGCCGTAAACCCATGAACGACCATTTGCTTAAGAACCCCAAAATGAATAAAAACATGTAAATCCCTATATTACCCTGAATAAGGAAGAAAATTGAGTTTTTTTGGTTCTTAAGCAAATAGTAGTGACCTGAACCCTAAACCCTAAACCCTAAACCCTAAACCCTAAACCCATGACCTGTGGGACAGTAGCCGCAAGGCCAGTACACGCGCTGGTTCGTGGGCAAGCTGTCGCGGTAGGCTGCACACTTCTCACAGTCCATGCAGTACCTGGCGTTGGAGCCCTAAACCCTAAACCCTAAACCCTCAACCCAAACTCCCTAAACCCTCAGCCCAGCACGCTCCACGTCGGAACTCCTCCTCCCCACCCACACCCCTCCCCACCCACACCCTATCCCCAAAAGGCCCAAAACTTAAATCCCCAACCCTAAACCCCAAACCCTAAACCTTATAACCCCTAAACCCTATAAACCCTATAAACCCTATAAACCCTATAAACCCTACAAACCCTACAAACCCTACAAAACCTACAAACCCTACAAACCCTATAAACCCTATAAACCCTGTAAACCCTATAAACCCTATAAACCCTATAAACCCTATAAACCCTATAAACCCTATAAACCCTATAAACCCTATAAACCCTATAAACCCTACAAACCCTATAAAACCCTATAAAACCCTATAAACCCTATAAAACCCTATAAAACCCTATAAACCCTATAAACCCTGTAAACCCTATAAACCCTATAAACCTTATAAACCCTATAAAACCCTATAAACCTTATAAACCCTATAAAACCCATAACCCTAAACCCTATAAACCCTAAACCCTAAACCCCAAACCCCAAACCCTAAACCCTAGACCCTAAACCCTAGACCCCCGAATGTACCAAACATGTGCCCAGGAGCCCTACGTCGTAGCCCGTACTCCCCGAATCGCTGAACCTCTGAAGCATCAGCCCCTTGGTAGATTGGGAAATACTGGGGTTTAGGGTTTAGGGTTTATAGGGTTTAGGGGTTAGGGTTGTTTAGGGTTTATAGGGTTTAGGGTTTTGGGGTTTAGGGTTTCGGGTTTAGGGGACGGTCATGACGCCTTCCATGGGGGGTTCAATAGCCGTTAATAGGAGCTCCTGTTAAGGGGCCCATGACTGTCCCCACTTACCCGACCAGGGCACCCAGAAGGTAACTGTTGTTGCTGATGCTTCCCGTGTTGATCTGCTTTCAACAAGGAGACCGCATGCACATTTAGAATATTAAGCCGAACCCAAAAGTGGACGAGGGCGACTTTGAACAGATGTGGAGCCAAACTTATGTGGCTTTCATCTGGCGAGTGGTGAAATATCTGTACTGCCGCTGCCGGAAGGGGCACGGGTACATCAAGCTGCCCTCGCTTGTCAGGGAGAACTCAGACGGTTGCTGCCCCTTGTGGCTGGCAGGCCGCGTCCACGTCACGCGCAGCCGGTTCTTGTCGTCCAGCTCCCAGGTGCCTTCTCCTCTGGCATGGCGTACCTAGACTGAACTTGGAGTTTAGGGTTTAGGGTTTAGGGTTTAGGGTTTAGGGTTCAGGGTTCAGGGTTCAGGGTTTAGGGTTTAGGGTTTAGGGTTTAGGGTTTAGGGTTTAGCCTTTTCTTCGGAATCAAAGTGCCCAACAACTAACAAGTATTTCCAAGTTCCCGTAAGGTACGTTGTTGCCCGAATGTCCTCCTCCGTCTATCCAGCTCCGCCGGTGCAGAAGTTCTCTCCTTGGTAGCCCGGTACTGATCTCATAAATAGGGGTACCTTTGTGTTGTGGTTGGTTACCTTATAGCTATACTCCCCTTAGAACCTTAATAAACATATTACTTTTAAGATCCTCTTGGGTTTTACATAAACAAAAATAATAATTCCCAAGAGGGATATAGATAGGGGAACCCAAAACCCGAAGAAAGGGGAAAGGGTACCACTACCAAGTCTCTTGGCCGAGCCGTCTTCGAGGATCTCGATCTCGTCTTCTCCACCATCAACATCCGAGTCGTAGTTGAAGGCTTCGCAGTCGTCCAGGTAGTAGAACCCCGCTTGCAACCCCGGCGCTGATATGGCCATCGTCACAACTCCGCTTGGGAACGCGGCAGGCACGAAGTCGCTGCTGTCCATCACCTCAATCTCGCCAGCCAAGAGTCTGATGCGAGCGGGCGCCTCGCCAACAGCTGCACCTACTCGTTGCCGCAGCTCCGAGACGCTCTGGACGCCTTTCAGGTCAGCAGCAACCGTTTGCCCACTGAGCTGCACTACTTTCAACGCCATGGACTTCGGGTGGGACTGGCCCATCTGCCAAAAAGGTCTGGCTCTTACTGGATTAAAGATATGGAAAACCCGACGCACTGTGCGCTAAACGTCTCAAAGTCCTAAGGTCCTACCTGTCACACCGAAAACCGAAACCCGAAACCCTAAGCAAGCGGCACAAAGGGCTACAGTGATGGTGGCTCCTCCTGCGCTTTCTTCCAGTGGCTCTAGCAATTGCCGTGTTATCCTTGAGCCTTAAAGCAAGGCTGTTTTGCGTGAGGTTTATGCAGCGAAGCCCATAACATGAATCGAGTCGAATACTGCAACTAGTCTTTTTCATGTTAGATAAATAATAAGTACTAAGTATGAATTCGCTACTCTCAATTCCTAAATACTAGTTCATATTCGTGATTTAAAAAGAACTAATAGAGCATGCTAATGAATAAAATTACTGACTAATAACTACAAACTAATCATTAAGAACTTCCAAATATTCACTACAAATGAATTCCAAATGGCGAACAAGTAAAAATTGACAGCTGATGACCGACAGATACAAATATGTTCTTAGCATGCTCATCTGTACTTGAATGTTTAACATTCAACAAACAATACCCCTGAACTAACAATTACATAGCAGTCAAAAAAGCCACCATAGCATAAACCAACAAAATACTATACTGCTATGCCTCCTTCCAAGGTATGTGGACCACAAAGCCTGAACCCTAAACTTTTAAACCCTAAACAACCCTAAACCCTAAACCCTAAACCCTAAACCCTAAACCCTAACCCTAAACCCTAAACCCTAAACCCTACACCCTAAGCCCTAAACAACCCTAAACCCTAAACCCTAAACCCTAAACCCTAAACCTGGTGCGGCACTGATCTGGCCGACATTGGATGTGAGCGTCGCAGCCCTTCTGCGGAGGGCAAGTGTTGTCAATGCCGTCGTTGGCCTCGTCGGGCTTGCAGGGTTTAGGGTTTATAAGGTATGGGGTTTAGGGTTTAGGGTTTAGGCATTGGAGTCCCTAGTTAGTTCCCTGAAAGGAAATCACATAGGTAACTTCAAAAGGGACAGAACTGACCAACAAGCTTAAAGGGCCAGAGGACCCCAAAACCGAAGCCGCGTATTCTTCGGCATTCCTTGCAAGAGGAACTGCTGCCGAGCCACGCATGCTCAAGTAAGTTCTCTAAACGATGCTAGGGTCTAGGGTTTAGGGTTTAGGGCTTAGGGTTTAGGGTTTAGGGATATTCCCCCGTATACTAACAGTCCTTAATAGGGATTGTAATAGGGGGGGGGGGGGGGGGCGGGGGGTACTATAATCCCGACTGAGGACGGTTAGTATAAGGGCAACATCCCAAATCCCTACGTTCAAGAAAAGCTTCCTATAGTGTACGGGGCACCTGTGGGGTCTAGGGTTTAGGGTTTAGGGTTTAGGGTTTAGGGTTTTAGGGTTTTAGGGTTTTAGGGTTTAGGGTTTTAGGGTTTTAGGGTTTTAGGGTTTTAGGGTTTTAGGGTTTTAGGGTGTTAGGGTTCTAGGGTTTTAGGGTTTTAGGGTTTTAGGGTTTTAGGGTTTTAGGGTTTTAGGGTTTTAGGGTTCTAGGGTTCTAGGGTTTTAGGGTTTTAGGGTTTTAGGGTTTTAGGGTTTTAGGGTTTTAGGGTTTTAGGGTTTTAGGGTTTTAGGGTTTTAGGGTTTTAGGGTTTTAGGGTTTTAGGGTTTAGTTTAGGGCGTTTAGGGTTTTTTGGGTTTAGGCTTCAGGGTCCTAGAGAGTCTACAAGGCACCCCCGAAGATGCTACCCCATTTGGAGCACCACCCGCATCCTGAGATAATACCGATAATGCCTAAACATTCAGCAATTACCAATGTATGCTACCCCCTCCCCCTACAACACCACCCCTAAACCCTAAACTCTAAACCCTAAACCCGAAACACTAAACCCTAAACCCTAGTACCCACCCCCGCCCCCGCCCCTCCCCGAAAAAATAAAATAAAAACCTTCATCAGCTGACACAGGCCCTGTACTCATGCAAACCTTATTGTCCCAGCTCCTAGAAGCCCTAAACTCGATATACCACTGAGTTGTGCTTTGAACCCAAAAGTATGTATGAATAAGTTTCAAGGAAAGAAGGGAAATATAAAGCTGCCCCAAAGCACAGCCCAGAAACCCTAAACCTTAATCCCTAAACCCTAAAGCCAGATGAGGCAAGAGGCTATCTGACAAACGCTCGCGGGTTCGCATATCCCGCCACCGACCGTGGGGCAGGGGTCGCAGGGCCACCTTGCAGCAGCCACCCTAAACCCTAAACCCTAAACCCTAAACCCTAAACCCTAAACCCTAAACACAGCAGTTCAGGGTCAAGGCATGTTGGGCTCAAGGCTTTGCAGAGGGGGCTGCTGCCCCCCGAAACAGGGAAACGTTGGCGGGTTTCAGGGTTTCTTAAGCCCTGTTCCCTGAGGTTGAAAAAAGGATCCTTTTTGTTCATATATAAGAAAGCCCATAACCCAAAAAGAAAAAAGGATCCCTAACACTGATCTAGGTTTAGGACAGTTTCGCGCCAGGTGGCTTCTCACGCTCGCTCTCCGACAGGGAGTTGCGGAAGGCCAAGCAAAGCTCGCAGCTTTCGCAATATTCCTGGGTGGGATTCTCTAGCCCTATAAGAGTAGCCCGGGAGGCCTAAACCCCAAACCCCTAAACCCCTTTTTTGCTTCATGCGGTTCAAGAGGGATCTGAACACTGCGTTAAACCCTAAACCCCCCCACCAAAACAGGGGAATAAGGGCCTCCGCTGCGTCCTACTGTTCAGGTTTAGTCAGGAGGTGCTGAAACAACATCAGCCAATCCTTGGTTTTGGATTTAGGGAATTTAGGGTTATGGGGTTTAGGGGGTTTCCAGCTTCAGGGGCTTTAGTAGGGTTTCTGGGTTGAAGGGTTTGGGGTTCCCACTTTTGGGTTCGCTGCCACCAAACCCAACAAGTTTCAGGGTTTAGGGTTAGGGTTTAGGCTGTAGGGCCCGAAGCCCCCCGCAACTACGCCCCTCTGTAGCCAGCCGTGCCACGCCCTCTTGGCAGTCGGAGTGCTTTGCGCAGCCGGGTTCCTCCGGGCAGGAGCCTGCGTCGGTTCAAGAGACCAGTTTTGGGTTTAGGGTTTAGGGTTTAGGGTTTAGGGTTTAGGGTTTAGGGTTGCAAATCTGTGGCTACCCGACGGAAGTGCGCTTTGTGAGCGTGTTTGTTTGCCGGCCGATGCCCGCCCCAAGGTCCGCGTAGCTGCAGGCTTAAGGACCACATGAATCCCAAAATGTTTTATGGTTCATATACCCTAATCAGGATTATCGTAGTACACTATAGGGTGTATGGTCCCAATTTTCGGGTCCAAGGAACTCATGTTCTTCAAAACCGGCATAGACTCGGAAACTGGATTAGCCTACGGCTTTCCCGCAAGTTTGAGAGGAGAGCTTTCATCAAGAAGGGTACCCTCTTTGGCGTTAAAAAGGTTAAGCCGCGAACCGGGTTTAGTAATTTAGAGTCTTGAGGTTTTTACAGTGTTTGGGGCTTCTGGACCTTGAATTTGTTGTTGTCATGCGTTTCCTCGGATTCAGAAAATCTAGGGATTAGGGTTGAGGGGCGTCTCTTAGGTTCCAGGGGTAGGTCTCAGAGCTCAAGTGCGCAGAGTCTTTCTCCATCCTAAACTAGCATGGCACTTAAAACCCTCTGAACAAATATTCCTGAATATGATCCTCGTAAACCCAAAAAGGGAACAGAACAAATATTCCTGAGTATGATCCTCGTAAACCCAAAAAGGGAACATATGACATGTCCCACGGGCCCACCGAGTAAATGTGATGAGTTGGGATGTTCCCCCCTATACTAACAGTCCTGAATAGGGATGATAGTACCCCCGATTGCAATCCCTAGTAAGGACTGCTAGTATAAGGGGGAACATGCCACGTGATGAGTGCGTGCCCCCCGCGGTCCTGACACGGAATCTTTCCGTATGGGGCACCACCAGAGCTTTGAGCAGAAGCCGCCCTTCCTTGATCAGGCAGGAAACCCTACAAGCCCCAGGAGCCCCATAAAGTCTTACAGCCCTGTAAGCCCTACAAGCCGTCAAAACCCCGTAACACCCTAAAAGCCCTTGCACCAAACAAAGACAACCCGCAAACCAAAATCAGGCCTAAGCCCTAATCAGCCCTAAACCCGACAAACCCGGCATAGCCACACAAGCCCTCCAAAGCCCTGTGAACGCTATCTCTCTGTAAATGAGTTTTTTGTGATGTCAATTTTGTCCAAGAGGTTGGAATCAGTCCCCTGCGCTCAACCCTGAACGACAAACTCAAGCCAGGTCCTCAAGACTGAGCCTTCGAATCAACTACAAAGCATACAAGCACTTCAATTCCTAGACAGAGGGTGGAGTGGGGCCGGGGGGTGGGCTGGGGTGTGGTGGTACAAATCCTGCGGCCGTTCTTCTGGGGTATCACGGAGAGGAGCCCGAAGCCCTTAAACAGTCCCCGATACTTTAGATCAATCCACTCAAGTGCTCTGATGCTGCCCTCCGAATCCCTGAGGCTTGAGGTTTGAGGTTTTAGGCTGACATTTGACTAAGGGGTTCGGGCTTAGGGTTTCGGCTCCCTAAGCACAAGAAACCCTTAACAAAAATAAACCTAAGCCCTAAACCCTATGAATGCAAACCCCTTGAAACCTCAACCAAGAGTCGGCGTGGGGCAGGGCTCACAGCGCCAGATCGTCTCGTTCGTTCCTCGGATGACTGAAGCAGAAATCGTTGGGTTCAGCCTTTGCCTCTACTTCCACGGACCACCTGACCCCTAAAAAGGGTTTATGGTTCATTGTATAAATATACCGAAATAGGGTTGTAGTAGTATGGGGTTGGGATATATGCGCCGTGTTTGGGCGCTGCGCCGTAGAGCTTGGAGTTTGCGGCTTATCTAGGCCACTACACCTTGAGGACACCATACCCGCTTTCTTGTGCAGGTTCCTATCTTCTTGGCCATACACGGGGCTAAAC